TAACCAATTGAGGTACCGAGTCCTACACGACGAGGAATTTTTTCAACCTATTGAAATTTCATTACATTATAATTCACCTATTGTGCAATGTTATTTCAATCCAAAATCGATTTTTTACTTATATAGTGCCATCCTGTGAAAAATATTAATGTTTTCACTATTTTGTTTTGTATATGGTTTTTTCGTGAATGGGCAGACTGTCTATCCTGTACGAGACAGTCTAGGCGTAAAATAATATAATGCTCGGTGGCCCTTTTAACATTCATTACAACTATGCGTCTCGCTCTTATCTGTACCATTAACATAACTTTAGGACCGCCATTTAGATCCTATTTGTAGGTCGGAATTAATTAATTTTAGTGTTGTCTGTAATTTTAGTGTTTACACGAGTGACACAATTTTAACGGCTTAAAACGCGAAATGTATTAGTTCTGTGGGCACGAGAGACTACTACCGGAAAGCCAGGATCCAACGTTGGGCTGTAGTTAAAATATATCGTAAATAAGTTAACTAAAACTATTCGTGTTTTAAACCGTCAAAAGTGTATTTTATAAATAATAATTCATTGTATATAAGGACAAATAACTTATCTGTCCCGGATAAGTGAAATATCATCGTGAATATTTGTTAAACGCTTTGTCTTCGATTGCGTTTACGGCGAGAGGTCCCGGGATCGAATCCCGGAAAAATATAATATGTGAAGGCTTGGTTAAACCAAAACGAAGCTAGAAATACGTATGTTTTTTTTATGTAAGACGAGGACATACTTTAATGAGGGTCACTAGATGGAAGGTAACATACCCCAGTCATGTAACAACCCAACAAGATGCGCTATCGAGTTATTTTGGATTTACCCGAATAAACTACACGGCTTTTCTTCTAACGACGGTGATCCATGACCCAGACGAGATTTCGATATTCCTACCACAGATTGAAATATCCAGATTTCCAGAGGAAGTCCAACATGTTGTAGAAACGTATAAATTAATTAAAACTCGTCAAACGTTGAAATCAGCCTTTTTCGTTTTAAATGTGGCTTTCAAACGTGAAGCAATCTAGAGTACAAAAAATATAACGTAGGTACAAATTTACGTACGTAACTTTCGTAAAGATACTAGCAATCCCTCGCTTGGGCGATCTGAGTACATATACATATGTATATGTGTATATAAACACATGTATATATGTGTACGACATAAGTAAGTTCAATAAGGTAATTATAATTAACCCGCTATATACGGATTGCTACACGGTGAATTAATTATTTAAATCTTTATTTTATAGATGTTGCAAAATAATTGTCTGTTGTAGATGTTTTAGTTTTTATGTTCGCATATTTGATTTAATTAATAATTAATTTGAATATATCCGCATTTGTTGAATATATTTAAAAATTTCACCTGAATAATAAAGTGTACGTTCCTATTCTCCTATTCCTCGTTTAGATAGACATAATCGAATTACAAAAGATTTAATTTGATACAAGAATGCAAGTTTCAATCTATATAAAACTTAAGAATTTGTTTGTTTAAACATCCTAATCTCAGGAACTAATGCTTCTAATTGCAAAGTACTTTTTGTTTCGCTTACACGATTTATCGAGGTAGGCTTTAGGCTATAAAACATCAGACTGCGACCAATACAGACGAAGAAACAGTGGGAAACGTGGAAAATAAAGGGAAAATACTTATCTTGGAGAGTGTCCGTTGCGTAACGGAATAAACGGTAATATCCAAAAATACGTATCTGAAAAATGTCCAGGACATATACTTACGTCTATGTTTTAAGATGGACTTACAAAAACCGTTTTTTGGTAATCAAAATTAGTCGAAATACTCGATACCAAAAGAGGCTAATGTTTTTAATAAAATTAACTTCATATATAATATAAGATTTTTTTTATTATGAACCTAAGATGCTTATCTACTAATCAAACTGAAAATAGCGTATATTTTTTATTAACAGTCTTTTAAAAGTGGCTGACACATTCGATTAAAAAAAATAATAGCTTTAATTTCATACTGTCTATAGTTTACGCGAGTAGTACACGTTTAAATAAACACTTTAACGGTTTAAAACGCGATATATTTGTTGAACTTATTTGAAAATGATTTTTAACTTCGGCCCGACGTTTCGGATGCTTTGCACCAGCCGCGGTCATACCGCGTTTTAAACCGTTAGTGTTTTATTTAAAAGCTTTAATTTCTTCCCTTTAACACAGTAGTCATTCATGTACTATGCAATGACTTGTTGTTGTATGAATGTTATTTTATATGTCTCATTATTATTAACACATAGTGACTTATAAAAAGCTCTGCGGATCAGCTGTTAAACTTTATAGGATGTCCTAGGTTCGAAAAGTAAGAAAAATTGTAAGAGGCTGACCTTACTTGTAGATAAAATCGATGTATGAAACGGGCACAGCTATGTGTCTGCTCTATGTCCATAGTTTTTGAAGCTCTGTTTAATCTAAGCAATAAGCCGTAAAATATAGCGTGGAGAAGTTTATAGGGTATCCACAATTTTATCTCAGTATCTAAAACTGTTCCGCCATAAAGTTATATTTTTTATGGCGGAGTTTTTAACGCTTCTTGACTTTATAGCTTATATCTAAGACGCATTACAGTCAGCATTACTCTCGGTATTCAATTTATCCAAATTATTTTAACATTCCGTATTAATAACGTTATAATGAATTTCTCGTAGTAGAATTTTCACAAATACTCCTGTTCATTGTATTGGTTTTATATTATTCTTTTATGAGTAGGAACTAGGCAGTTTAGATTCTTGCATAGCATTTCTTTGGCATTATATTGTAATGAAAAAATATATAGTTTATTGATCTACGTATTTTTTTAATCTGCAGGATTTAAGTAGTGGAATGCCTACATCAAATAAAAAAATAACTAAATTTTCGTTAATTCCTTTTGTGAAACTCTGGCATCTCAAATGCTAAATTTAGTTTTGTTATAACTGCTTTCTCTGGGCGTTTCACTTATTTTAATTTCGGTTTTATAAATAGACCACTATGTTATGTTCGTTCAAGTGAAAATAATGTTAACTGCTTTTCAAACTTCAACATACAATTAAAAATGATTGGTATATGATTTCTAAAGGCCACTCCGTCTATCGATTATTTTAACTTTATAGTCGTCGACGTTATGACGTCACGGATAAGTGCGTCGGTTGTAAAGTTAAAAGTAATAAATATTTTTAAATAAAACACTTTAACGGTTTTCCAGCCAGTACTGGTTAATTAAATTAATTTGTAATTTATCGCGTTTAAAACCGTTAAAGTGTTTTATTTAAATGTGTACTACTCGCGTAAACCATAGACAGTAAGTTATAAATATTTCCTGCATCCGACTGTACGTGTATGAAGATGTCTACACTTTGATCCTCCTAATTGCCGTAGAGAGCGAAGAAATGTAGAGACTTTTCTCCAAGCGCCTATGATAAAAGGACAGGTAAATCCAGCGTACAAAAGCTTTTACGCTGTGTCTACGCCGAAAAATAAGATTATTTCTTATCTTTTTCTACGTGAGTAGATGGAGCTTAATACATTATTCTACAGATATATTTGAGTTATACATTCTTGTCATCTTGCTTATTATACTGTTCGTCTACTGAAACTGTATACTTTGAGAATATTTATGTATAAATAATTCGAAGTGAAGAAATTAATTTACGACAGCAGACAACAACAAAATGGTAAAAAAAAAACCAGTTCGAGTTATTTTAATTCAAATAAATGTGTAACTCGAAGTATTTAATTTTTCCTCTCTGCAACATTTTATTCGTAAAAAGAATATAAGTTCTCGAACTCAAAGCTAACAACGCGAAGTTATGAGCACACAAAACTTTACTACTTTTACGAACCGTTGTATCTCTTATTTACCAAGCACCTTGTCAGAACTAGAACGCGCTACGATACCCTGATACATCTTGCAACAGCGTATTATACTCATCCTTGGATTCAGGGATTCTTTCGCTAGTACCAACGAATTTGCCAATCTGTGTTGAGTTTTCGGCAACCTGCCAACTCATGAGTGCAGCTCGGTTTTTTCACACAGTGGTTTGACCTCTTCCTAGTGAATTCGAAGAGACTAAATTCAGTCTTAAGTTTTCGCAGTTCATTGAATTTTTCCACCTTTCGGAGTTTTGCCACAGAATGTAGAGCAAACAGCAGCGAAGTTTCATTAGTAATGGGAACGGATGCGACAGTGAATAGCCTCCAGGGCTTTCAGTGAATGGTTGAAATAATGCCGCGTTACTATTTCACGATGTCGGCCATATTTTGTGGGAATATTCGCAGCTGAAACCCACGCGTCGAAGCGGCGAGTGATTCTGAAGTTAAACCGTGTCAAACTAAACGACTCCATGTTTGTTTTTCGAATTTACTTATTCCACTTTTAAACTAATACGACGCACGCGTTACGTGAACACTTAGCGCCGAGGAAATTATATATAATTATTCATTTGAGATTACCAAATTTTAGTTTGATTGCGCGGGTGAGCTATTAAAGTCATTAACGAGAACGATCCCAAGATTGGGGCTCGCTCGACATATTACACAACGATATGCTTCCATTGCGATTAACAATTTAATATCGAAACTATTCGTATGAGAAAGGAGTTTTTCGAGCGCGGTCACTCTCCGGTTACCTTTCACGTCTACTTTCAGTGGTGACGTAATGCCGCGGACCTCACATACTGATTAGGTTACAAACACAAATTGCATTACATTATAATTTTTATTACAAAAATAAAAAGCTATTATTATACATAAAGATAACAGTCGCAATCGTTGGAATAACATTAACACTGTGCACTAATAACAAGTAGTTGGCGGTCACGTCTAGAAGCTCGGGGTCGGGAGGGTGACTATGTACAGATCCGATCGCGAGCCTCTGGTGGTAGATTAGCCTCGTGGGATTATGCCATTGGCTTAATTTCGCTAAGCAGTTTAATTCTATCGTACCACCTTTGCCAATAAACGTTTAGTGGAGGGGGCCAGCTACGTGACCGGGGGGTCCGTACTGTGAGCTCGTGGCGCCGTGTCCAACGGAGGCAATCTCGTCTCCGCCGCTCGCGCCGAAGTCCCCAGAGATCTCACCACCGTGACCGGATGCGCCTCCTTCGAGTCCGGAGCTACCGCTGATAGCTCCAAAATCCCCGCCGCTGATAGCACTGCCACCGATAGATCCACCACCCAGAGAGCCACCAGCGATAGCACCACCTCCGAGAGAACCACCAGCGATGGCACCACCAATAGCAGCGTCGGATTCCTTCTGGGTTTGGTATTTGATGAAGTAAACCTCTGGTTTCGAGGGTTGAGTTGGGGCTGGGGTTGGGATGATGATGTCTTGCTGCTCTTCGGGCTTCTTGACAAGAACGTATACCAAGGTCTTTTCTTCGTTCTGGGGCTGAACTGGGATGATGGGGGCAACTGGGGTGGGTGGGGTTGGGGCCTTGATAAAGATGATCTTGTAGTGCTTCTGTGGGGGAGCAACTGGAGTGATGCGGGGCAATCTCTGTTCTTGGGGTTCTGGTGGGGGAACGTGGACGTAGATGTGCTTCTGGACTAAGGGAGCACCAGAGTAGCCACCAGCGTAACCACCTCCGAAGCCTGCATCTGCAGCGAATCCTCCGGAAACTCCACCGCTGCTAAAGCTGCTTGCTCCTAGACTAGCACCTGAGTAACCTCCAGACACACCGGAATGACCTCCAGAGATGCCACCGAAGGACAGACCAGAGTGGCCACCAGAAACTCTTATTCCGCCGAGAGATGGTGCTCCATAGCTTCCAGATGGGGCTGAATGTCTGGCGGGAGTTGGGTAGTTGTATCCCAAGGGAGCTTCAGGGCGCCCGTAGGCAAGTGCCACGCAGGCAAGGATCTACAATAAAATAAATTACGTAATATGAATAAATACTGTCTATAGTTTACGCGAGTAGTACACATTTAAATAAAACACTTTAACGGTTTAAAACGCGATATATTGGTTAAACTTATTTAAAAATGATTTTTAACTTTTAACAAATAATTTTAACTAATATATCGCGTTTTAAACCGTTAAAGTGTTTTATTTAATATGAATAATTCAGAATTCTCAACGATAACTTTCGAAATATAACAATGATTAAAATTTCAAATTAGCCGCTAATACCATTGAATGTATTATAATAAATGTTGTTTAAGTAGAATAAAAACTACCGTAGCAAGACAACAATAAGCGGGATGATAATATCGAAGCGATCGGATGATCACGATAAGATGACGTAACAGAGTTTGGCTACCACGCGGTAAACAATTTCAAATGGATCGATTGCGTAATAAAAGTATTTAGTATTTGGGTCAGAATCTCACTGTTACATGTATAACCATATACGGAATACAAATGAACACTTTATCAGCGTCAATTTTGTGCACATAGCCGAATGGAAATCGTATTTATTCTTTAACCGAATTTCGCGATTCACAATGAACATAATATTATTATTTATGAACCAATTTAGGCAAACCCTTATATCTTTGACCCATATCTTACATAGATGTTGCGGAATGAAATATTGCACAGTGAGGTCCCTTAGGAATTGTAATCCAAAAAATGACGCAATTCCATTGTTAAATAAGATTAGACAAATTTGTGGAGATCTACAGAAACACTATCACGCACAACACTAGTACTAGCACAACACTTCACAACTTAAAGTAAGTCAGGGGTGTGCCTTTAATCTCTCTCGAACTTACCACGAAAGCGCGCATCTTGTGCTTGGGGTAACCAGAACAGTTGATAGAGCTAAGCCAACACCGACGTTCCTGCAATGGAAGCTCTTGTTGACTGATGACATTCGCAACTCCGGCACGCTCTTAAATACTTATGTGCTCTTCTCGTACGGACACTCCATCCCTGTACATTTCACTGAGACTTCCAACTATCGTCATTAACAATCCTTTCTTTGCAACGTATTCCGCGCATTCGGCGAGCTGCCTTTGCCCGGGCCGCATTTCGCATTCGACGCGTACCGTCGATAATCGTCCGTCGTCTATACATTGCCAGTTGAGATTTCAAATTTATCAATAAATAAATTTTAAAAGTCATTAAATTAAAGATAGTCTCAAAAGGCGTATCGTCTGAACGATTTCTTTATTGACAAGGCTGCCTGGCAGTGATATGATCTGCTCCTTAGGTTAATAAATTCACAAAAATGTATTCGTTTTTGAGATATGTTATAAAAGGCCGGACTGAGTTTCTTGGGTGTTCTTCTCATGTTGCTCTTTTGAACAATCTGTAGAATCACGACGAACACACAGACAAACAATTCTAATTTTATTTTTGACGAATCTAAATAATTTTTTTTATTTATATATTTTATTTTATTTTACATGCATTGTGAAATTTTAGAAAAAAAATTTTTATCAACTCCGCTCGTGATTGTACGACCTTTACCTTCGTTAGAGATTAGAAGCCTTTTCTCGATTATAGCTTTTGCAATACGCATTCACATTCTGTCATTGCTGCAAGTGTTTCACAAATTATTGAGTTTTGGATGATCTTAATAGATAGTACAAAGTCCATTTTGCATCACTAATTGTTATAGATCGTAAATCTTATAAAAGTCAAATCCCGTTTTCCCTCGTGGGGCATAGGGCAAACACATTTCTGTGTCGTTTCGCTGATCGGTTTTATGTGCAAGTAGTTGATCAGACTTCTGTGGCCTGCCCGATCGAAACAATTTAATGTTTCCCCGGCATTCGAACCAATACCTCTCGCGCCTGTCAGAGGCTGATGATAAAGTAAAAATCCTTTTATTTATATAACAATATATCTGTTGATGTCTTGCAGTTAAATTACAAGAAGTTCTATTTCTCACTACTTGCTATAAGCTGAACTAAAATTATTCATATTGTTTCTTAGTATATATTCTTTTGTTTTCATTTGCGAAGAGTTTGTTCTTCAACAAATGCCTCCTTTGTTACCATGCTTGTCTGTCCCTTGCTACTCGTGCTTATGGTGGACTTGTCACGTTTTTCAAGTCGCCTTCGCTTTATATAGATCCTTAAAATAGATATTTTTAAATAACCCAATATGATCGTAAATAAACACAAAATTCAGAGTGCATTTCCGATCTCAACGTAGCAATTATTTTGTTTCCAATTTCAGCTCAATCCATTTAGCAATTTGAGCCTTGCATGTACAGAACGAGAAGAGGCGGGATAGTTACGAATTCGGAATCATATTATACTAGGTTCGACAGACGTTGTTCTGAGCTATACATTATTTTTAGGGAATTTATTGTAGAATAATGAATTTTAAAAATACTTTCAAGAAATAAGAGTTATGTATCTTTTTTAGGTAGGTACATCTCGTTTCCTCGCGTGGGGGATGGAGCAGATATGATATGATCTAAAAAACTACAAAACAATTCACATCATATTATTTTCATATTTCGCACGCTTAGTAGGTATTACAGTGACCGAATTAAAAAAAAAAAACACTTTTTTGGCAAATCGTATAAAACTATGATGATGGCGTTATTATAGTAATTTCAGTGCATTTATATAATTTTACTTAAATTTCGAGTTAGGTCACTCTAATACTAAGCGTGCGATTTATTCGTAAAAGTTTTCCGAATTCCAAAAAGCCTTTCTCAAAATGGTTATTTTGATATGCAACTCTTGTTGTTTGTTGTTTTTGTTGTTAACCGGTAGGTTGATCAAACTTTCAATATAAACCTGACCACCTCTGTAACTAAATAGTGTGCCATTGCGTTAAACACGAGAAATCCTGCGTTCTAATCCCTGAAAAAAAAATATAGCTCTGGTCGAGCAGGGCACAGAAGTCTGATCAACTCCTACTACTAATACTTGTTACTTGCATTTTGTTTTCAGATGAGTACGTTGCTTTAAGCTACCCATCCTGTTATTAAAACTAAGTGCAATTATGACTTTAGTTTCCTCATTTAGCTTTTATCAAAATGCACATAACGAAACAAAAATAAACCGGATCAAATAGTTATTTTAATGCGAACACGAGAACACTATTAGCTAACCCGGCTCTAATTAGTTTTAACCCAAAATGTATCTCGGCCGTGACAGAACACTTCTACCCTTATTTTAGGGGGTGAGAGTACCTTTTGATGCATCCACTAGCAACATTTGTGCCTTTTCAAATTATTAAGTGGAGGCAGTACATTTTAAAAATAAGTCAAAGTAATTGAATTGCGAAATGAAATTTATTATACTGTCAAAAGTAATACGGATCGTCTGATATATGACAATTCCCGTGTCACAGTGTTCCCGTGTCTCACCTCTGAAACGGCTCGACCAATTGTTTATGAAACTTTCTATGCATATTCGGTAAGTCTGAGAATCGGTTACTATTTTTCATACGAAGTGAAAAGGGTTATCCATCCCTTAAATTTTATTACACAACATTAAGATTTATTTTTATTTTTATAATATTGCACTAAAAATAAAAAACAGCCCTAAATTTTCATCTTTCTATCACAAACTACTATTTCTAATCGGTTTTTTAGTAGTTTAGTTTCATCCCTCTTGACAATTGATCAATTATCACTTAGTAAGGTATCCCCCCAGGCGTCTACCGGTGTCAATAAATTATAATAAATTAATGATATTTTAAGTGCAAAACAACGTTTGTTGGGAAAATAATATTCTCCTAATACAGCTATCACCATCATAAAAACACGACTAAACGCAGTATTTGCTTACAAAGTCGTGAATATACAAAAAATTCAAAACAATACGCGCTTACGAAAAAGGCAATTAACCACAATGATAATAATCTTGCATAAATTCTTAAGACATTCCTTACGATCTCTATTAGATTTTTAAGTTTTGTAATAATATGACAAAACTTTGCGAGGATCATTAATTTTACATTGTAACCATAAATAAGGGTTCTTTATGCGTTGGCTTTTGAGTTGATATGTCATGTGTTTAGTGGTTTTTAACTGGGGCTTTGCTGTTATTGTGACACAAATAAAAACAACGTGCAATATTGATTGATTATTAATATTTAAAATACATGTTTTGCTACAAAAAAAATACAAATAAAATACCATATACTTTTGAATAAATTTCTCGACAAATTCCATATCGACATCTATTCATTGGCAGTCTTTACGAACATTATAAATGCAAAGGTTTCAAGCCGGCGCCGTCTGTCGCGAGTTCTATTCCCGTCTGCACCCTAACACTTCCATCTACTATTAAAAATGCAAACGTTTTGGAGGTAGGGTTTTTCGTTTATATAACTCTCACTTTGTATTCGTTTTCATGGCGTACAAATATTGCATTAAAAAATGTACAACCTAGAAATATTTACAGAGCGTAAGAGTGGATAAGAAGTGTTGAGAGAGACTTTTCGGCAAGGCATTCATCGGTTGGAAATCTATCGCTAAGTGAAAACCACTTAAGTTACAATTGCTATGGTTATACAGTTTCTCTGGTATTAGACATTTTTAAATTCCGAACAAAAAAAATTATTTTTACTGTACTTTTTAAATATAGGATTTAATTCGTCTTGCAAAATGGCGGCGGCGTTAGTGGATTTGTTAAGTAGAATTTTAAATATGGAATAGATTAAAATTGTTAACTATTTGCATAGTGTTTGGGCATATTTATATGAAATCACTAATTTTGTCTCACTAGGGCGGAAAACTTTATGATTTGGCAATATATATTATACAATATTTTTTTAAATCTCATTGTGTAGCTAAACAACTAACAGAAGAACACATTTTATCCGCCAGTTACAGAAGCACTGAATTACCGAAATTGGTCACTATACAAATTAGAGGCTTTTGGCAAGTAAGGTCAAAGGCGTTCAACACTTAACACATTAATCATAGTATGTATATTGTATAACCTTGTTCGACTATCTAATAAATATGAACTCTATATTTTACGAACGCCTCGTACAAATTGCGTAAATATTTCAAGGTAAATTATTTTTCTTAACGAAGGTTCATTTTTTAACCAAACACATTGCAAGTGTTAAGAGTGATGTGTTTATTAATGTTGTAGAGACGCCCCGCGGTGTTACCCGCAGTATATCATACCTTACAGGGACGCATACAAAAAGGTATAGCATTTATAGGTCTACCCCCCTTTCCCCCTCCGAAAAATAAACATGTTTATTCTAAACGTCGGGCCGTAGTTACTTTAATTTTCAAATAAGTTTAACTAATATATATATATCGCTTTTTAAACCGTTAGAGTGTGTTATTTACATTTTTATTATTGCAACTTTCTACCCCCGCTAACACACCCCAACACATCGTGCGTTTTCCCTTCCGCGCCCTGCGGGGCGCGGGTTCCTTGATCAGCCCTGTCGGGCTCCGCAAGGGGTGATCTGGCGCGCCTTGCTAATACAAGGCGGTCTCTGGGTTCTTGTCGGTGGTGGTGAACGCCCCCGCGTCTCGCGGTCAAGCACCGCCGGGTGAGACCCCCGGTAACCCCGGGGAGGCCCAGCGAGGCGACCAGCGGACGAAGACGCGGGATGGGTTCGGTCAAATCCGGTGTGTTTGTTTCAACTGTTGCCGTCTGTGCTGTGCAGGGAGAGGCGGGGAGTGGGAGGGGAGAGGAGGTCTGCGGAAGTGGGAATCTTCTGTCCGGTGGCTGGGGCATGGGGCGAGGCGCGGAGATGTGCTGGCGATGAGTGGCCCTGCGAACATTTCTCGCCATCCGAGATGGATTTTGAGTGAGGCTTGCGGAGATCTGATGGAAGTGGATTTTACGTAGGGGTGCCTTGGTAATACGCCGGAGTGCCTTGGCACTGCGTGAGGCGTTTTTCTGAGTTTTCGAGCCAGCGATACAGGCTGGTAGGGTAGTGAGGTGGGGACGGACATAAAATTGTACAGGGACTTCTTTGTGTGTACAGGAATGTTGGAGGAAGGAGGGGGAGTTTGGTAAGAGCTTTGGTGACGAATAGTATGGAGTTAGAGGCTGGTGATGTAAGGCGAGGTAAGAGGGTTAGAAGG